AAGGGACAGAGAGACAGAAAGCAAGAAAGCTGGGGAAAGTTAAAAAGTACCACCAGTGGAGATGGACATGGCACAATTCTTTCTCTGCCATTCTCCTCTTGGGATTTGGTCACACAAGCATGTGTTTGGCATTTTTCAAGCCACTGGGTGTGGGACTCCAGCCACCATAACCACACCACCAGGTGACCCGTTCTCTTTGTTTTTAATGGTTATCTTTTGTTTCTTTTTGTTCATTTGAGCTGTTTCAAATGTCTTTAGGTTCAGAGGTTTGATATTTGGTATGGCCTAACCTGTTGTTCTCTCTACATAATTTTTAAAATTTCCTGTATCATATTATGTCCAGGGTTTCTGTTTGATGATTTTTTTTTAAAAAAAGATGTCTGTCTTTATTGAATTCTCATCCATGTCATGGATTGTTTTTATTTCCTAGAATTCACTGACTACATGCTCTTCCAACTCACTTTGTTATGACCAGTATTTCTGGTCTAGTTTGGGTTTCAAAGCATAGGCAAGATTAAGAGATCCATGCACTGAATCAGTGTGTCAGAACCCAAGTGAAGGGGGAAAGGCTTGTAATCTTTACTTATTTATTTTTAAAATATCTTTTCTAAGTCACCATAATTGTTCAGTCTAGTAACTTTCTTTTTTTAAAAAAATAACTATTTTATTTTAATTTATTTATTTTTAATTTGCGTGAGAGAGAGAGGAAGTGAGAAAGCAAGCCACCAGATTCAGGACTTGAACCCTGGTTGGCCATGTGGGAGTGTCCAGTGCCTTAACCACCATGTGGAGGAGTCCGACCCAGGGAGGCCCCAGGATTTGTCTGAGCCCCCCGACCTTTGAGCTCCGCTTTCGGTTGGATTAACACGTGGGCAAGACTACTGTTGTGCACCCCCCGACCTTGAAACAAAGCTTGGGTCAGTTAGCATGTCAGCAAGGCTGCTTGCTATTTGCTCCAGAAAATTGAGGCAACCTCACTGGGAAGCGACCCCCTTTTGACTCCCCAATTTACTACTATAAAAAAATTGCATAGCTTTCCTATACATTCTGAGTGTATGATAAAATCTTTTAGGAAGTCCCCCAACTGACAGCTCCCCTTTGCTCTGATTACTTACTATTAATTACAATGCTTTACCTCTGTGGTTACAATAGAGGGTGGGCTGAAGTTCTTTCTAGGCAGAAGTAATCTTGACCTTTGGAAGGCCCTTACATTTTTCCTTTCTTTATGTAAAATAGGATTAGGCCAAAACTGGCCCAGGACACCTCTGCCCTCTCCAAGTGAAATAGATAAATATATTAGGATTCCTCAAATTAAGTTTTAGATCCCTACAAAACTGTATAAGTATCATTCTTTATTAAGATCCATAAGAACTAATATCTATTCTTGAGATTTTCTTTTCTCAGCACCATTCCCAGTAATCACAAGATGGCTCCTGCACCGCATCTGCTTAC